ACTGCCTTCCCACAATACTGTTGGGAGTTCTATACTGTACGAAATTGTGGATGGGTCGGTTTCTATTTAGAAGTTAAATAACTAAGGGTAACTGCCTTCCCACATCTGGTTGGGAGTTCTATACTGTAGAAATTGTGGATGGTCGGTTTCTATTTAGAAGTTAAATAACTAAGGGTAACTGCCTTCCCACATCTGGTTGGGAGTTCTATACTGTAGAAATTGTGGATGGGTCGGTTTCTATTTAGAACTTAAATAACTTTAAGGGTAACTGCCTTCCCACATCTGGTTGGGAGTTATATACTGTAGAAATTGTGGATGGTTCGGTTTCTATTTAGAACTTAAATAACTTTAAGGGTAACTGCCTTCCCACATCTGGCTGCAGACAGCAAAAGGCAGTAGGAAGTGAGAAGTTGTGGGTTTAAGCACTTCTCTCCGTACCCTTGTATTGATTTTCCATGGTAGTTAACTTGTTTATCTTCATCGTTTTGGATTTTGTGTGACAGATGGGATATCCCATATGCTTTTTGGGTGCTATTACCACAAACTTTATCCATTTATGACTATGGATAACAGACCGGGAGTGAAATTAGATGCATTAAATGATTATATATAAGGCACTAACATATAATGCCCCAGGCTTTCTAATTATGCTATAAATAGGTTTGAAAAATTTCCATTACTCCTTAGAGCAGTGATTTCAGTCTAAGCACATCAATATTTATTTGTGAAATAGTGGCTTTAACCAGAAAAACAAATCAGACTATTGTCAGAATCACTTAGTTCACAAAATGGCCTTTCTATTAGTTAAAAACATGTACCATTGACAAATAGATTTGTGCAAATAAGTGATTTCAAAAGTGTGAAGAATTGGGAGGAGTTTCTATGGTGAGTGTAATATATTTATTGGTATTTCAGAAAATAAAGAAGGTAAGAGGTTTTTATTTTATTATCTGGTCTTTCAATGTGAATAGCTTGTGTGTCTAATTGGTGAAAACTCCAAAATCTATAAAGGAATAAAAAAATATATATACAGCATGGTCACAAGTAACTAGACACCACCTTTTCAGAATTTTTCAGGATTTTTGCCCACTCTTGCTTAAAAACTTGGAGTAGATTGCTCTTCGAAGTTGTTTTTTTTGGTTGTTTCTTGACTTGCCGGTCGAGTATGGCCCAAAGGTTTTCGATGGGGTTCATGTCAGAAGATTGGCTCAGCCAGGGCAACTTCTGGGTACCATTTTCTTCCTGCCACTTTTGGATGTTTCTAGCAGTGTGACACTGGAACAACGTTGTGTTCTTGTCCACAAAACCCGAGGAATAAAGTGGCAAGAGTCCTTCCTCCAATATTTCGACGTATTTCGCAAAATTTATGTTGCCAACGCACTTCGCTAAGCTCGATCTTCCACCAACCCAAACAGCTCCCCAAACCATCACACTGAAACCACCATGCTTCACAGTTGGCTGCAATCTGTTGCGCCAAAACTCTTGGTAAGACATTCTCCATGCCCATATCCTTCAACTGTCCAAAAATTGAGCGAATCTTGATTCATCTGAGAACAATACGGTCTTCCAAAAGTCCAGAGGCTTGGTCATCACATCACTTGCCCACTTCTTTCATCTGACTATGTTGGCAGGTCTTAGTAAGGGCTTCCCCTTAGCTGCTCTGCAAAGATAATCCAATCTGTGGAGAATCCGTTGAACAGATTTCAGGCTCATCCCACCAACTTTGGTCACTTCTACAGTCGTTAATCTGGGATCCATTTCGATGCTCCTCTTGACAGCCCTTTTTGTCCTCTCTGATGGACTAGGACGACTCGGATGCTGCTCATTTGTTTCCTTGCTGTGTTTTCTGAACTGCACGATGATTTTGTTGACTGTCGAAAGCGAGATTCCCAAATTCTGCAAAATTTGCTACTGACTTATTCCACCATCT